GAGTCATGGATTTGGTTTTTATCAAGACTTAAAGAATGTATTGGGGACATGCCATATTCGGCCATTATATCAGATAGAGATAGTTTAATTAAAATGACCATTTAAGACATGTTCCCAAATACATATCACATACTTTGCTATTGATATTTGTTGATGAATATGAGAGCAAAGATCGGCAAGCAAGATAGAGCAAATATTTTGTTTTGGGAGGTTGCAAAGGCATACCGAGAGTCTAATTTCAAAGAAAGCTTAAGTAGGCTACATCATGCACTAAATTATGATTGTCAGACATGGCTAGACATAATTGGTAATGAGAGATGGACAAGGTCGTGTTTCCATGTGGTTCGGTACAATATTATAACATCAAACAGTGCCGATTTTGTCAATGCATTATCAAGAGATGCAAGAAAACTACCGATAACAATATTGATCGATTTCTTTTGAGCAACTATGCAACAATGGTGGTGTCATCGATGTAATGTTGGAGGTAAATGTTTCCCTATATTGAAATAGTTCAATGATAATTGTAGTGTAATTTATTTTGCATGACAACGTATATGTAAATGTGTGACATCCCCAATTTCACGGCCAGAAAAGACTGATTTGTTTATGCTTTGTTTTTAAAATCAGAGTAATCTTTTAAAGAAAATGATTGCGGAATTTGTTCCCAAAACAATATATGATAATAACTTATCAAAACATTTCTCAAAGAGAATGTATTTTCATTTAATAATAAAACATCAGGATGTCATGTTCCGATACAGACATATAAGCATAAACAGAACTTACATTTAATTATACTAATGATTTATATCTCCTTTAAATCACTCTATTAAATATATCTTCGTATCGATACCTGTGATACAAAGAAAACTGAGTGGGTCAGGCTTGGGAGCCTGGTGAGCATATAGGGTTTTCATCCCACAATGTTATATCATATGTTTATAAATATAGAACATTGAAACTTGTACATTTTCACCATATAAAGGCAAATCTTATCCCACCCCATCGATCCTCACAACAACACGATCTAAACTCTCGTATCTAAAATTTTCCTCTTTACCTGATCCCTACTCACGGATCTAAAACTAACCTTTTCACCCGATCCGTACTCACGGATCTAAAACTAACCTTTTCCCCTGATCCATACTCACGGATCTAAATATACCTTTTCACCTGATCCATACTCATGGATCTAAAACTACCTGATCCATACTCACGAATCTAAAACTAACCTCCTAATTTGATCCATACTCCCGGATCAATAATTGTACCCAATCCATACTCCCGGAATAGGGACAATTAACTATACCTTAATCATGCTCTGATCCATACTCTCGGATCTATAACTGTTCCCAATCCATACTCCCGGAATAAGGACAATTAACTTAGTCTCAATCCATATCTAATCCATACTCCCGGATCTATAACTGTGCCCAATCCTTACTCCCGGACTAGGGACAATTAACTTAGTCTTAATCTATACTCCTGGACTAATAGCAAGTTTATCTCTTTACCTGATCCATACTCCTGGATTTAAAACTGACCTCTTGGTCTAATCCATACTAACGGATCTAAAACTAGCCTCTTGATCTGATTCCTACTCACGGATCTAAACTAATCTCTTGATCCGATCCATACTCACGGATCTCATCTACCCATGTCCTACCCAACATATTTGTAGTTATAAAATACATATACAGTTTAACTCATTAAAACCTATATAGTTCATCCATTCCACCAACATCTCAAATAAACAACAATATATAAACATATAGCACATATTTCATAGCAAATACTTAATATTTATGTGTTAGAAGAAAGTGACCACACACTCACCCAAAATATATACTTAATACATTTAAACAATACTTGTATTAATATCGTGTTTATGAAAGGGACTATACACTCACTTGATCAGAAGATGATCGGATAGCACTACGGCTTGTAGAAGTAGTATCCTTCGGTGAAACTGTGATCTCTTCACACACCGGACTTCTCACGGGCAGAGCTTCGGCTCGAAAACTCTTTTCTTCTCAGGATCTTCGGGCTTCGGGACTTGCTTCGGGTATCGGGGTTGATACCGGGGCTTCGGGGGTACTTCTTTGCACGTAAATCGAGGTAATATGGGTGAGAGATGAGAGAATGAGAAACCAAACTCGGCTGGCCCTTCAAATATATTTATAGGGCAAAACTGGTCCTTGACACGTCGTGGCACCTTTTTCCACGTCGTGGGCTTGGTCGTCACTGTATGCGTCATCGCAAGTTGCATTTGGGGGACTCCCGGAGGTGTCAAAAGACATGTCATGTCGTGGTATCTGACAGTTTTGGGGTTTTGCACCCCGAACTTCAGAAATTCATAAATTTCGCATACGAACTCCGTTTTCGATGTTCTCGGGGAAATGGTTGTATTTAACTACTAATGCAATCTAATAGAACTAGTGTAAATAAACTAACTAACTACAATTAAACTAAAGGGGGGTTTTGGTGGTTGCTTGAAAACTAAAAGACTTGAATAACTAAAAAGTTTGCAACTAAGCAAGATGATGAGATGCTCAAGTATTGATGATAATCTGTTAACCAAGGCAATTCAACAGAATAAACATTTGTGTGTTTATCATTAGGATTCAACATGAAGCTTATCATTCATCCCAAATGACCAAAATGCCCAAAACTGGGCAGTTGCACGGGTACCTATGCGATGGAAATCCCACCCGCACAAGTGTTGTTGGAATGCAATTGGCTCATTTTTCCTCCACTAGCCATACCGCTACCAAAGATTCCCTTGGTCCCCTCCATATCCCACATGATTCAAATTAACCAATCATCTTTTAGCTTCAAATATGAATTCTCCAAGCCCAAAATAATAATCCATGACCCATCTTTACAAGCCCACTTCATCCAAGCCTTTAGCTTTTTAAGCCCAAATCTCCTTTGGTGGATCCATAAAGCCCAATAATGCATCGAAAATCCCACCAAGCCCAACTCCAGTCAAATGGCAACCGCAATAAGCTCCAAAACCCTACAAAATATCTCATGCAAAATAAAAAAGTCCCCAATATGATCCATTATAAAGAAAATAAAGAATATACAATGCAATACTAATAAAAAGAGTTAAAAATCTAAAATAAACTAATAAAAATAAGGAAATAAAATAGGATATCAAATCACCCCAAGCTTAAACCTAACTTGTCCTCAAGTTAGAACAAGACTAAAATGAGCTCGGGATGAGCTAAACTAAAAAGGAAAAAGAAAGATACCATAGAACTTGGTAATATCAATCAACATGGCTAGAATCAGTCTTTCATGGACCCTACGCATCTTCAAAATGTTACCCGCTTTAGAGCCATAAACCACATTCTTAACCACTTTATGGGCAAATAGATCATGGTTGGATGTAGTCGCGGTGTGCAAGACAAAGGAAACAGAGATGCGTCCAGTGGGTGCACTTTAAATCACCAATGCAAGCCATAATGCATGAAGGAAAGGTGCCTCTTCACACACAATGATTCCTACATTTTTCAGGCTAAAGGGTTTAATACGAAATAGGGTTTTGCAGCACGGCTTCCAGGCAAACATCCGGTTTCAGAGGCTCCTCCCTTGTACTGTCCTTTACAATCTATCGTCTCATCGTTATAGCCTTTTCTCACCAAAAATCAAAAATAAAATAAAATAAAATAAAGATCTACATAACCTAAACCTAAACCTAACAACTTAAATCTACAATCTTGAACTTCTGTTATTTGGATTTCAGCCTCTTTGTTGCTTGATATTCAGTCTTCTTATTTCTCTCACCTTTTTTTAGAGAAATCTTGAAGTTGGATTCTTGTTCTTCTTTTTGTTTTGTTTGTTTTTTTCTTCTTCATTGTTTCTTTTTGTCTTCACTTTTCCAATTTCTTCATTTTTTTGTGTTTTCATCTTGTCTTTCTTCTTTGAAGGTCTAAGGAACTTCACCATGTAACGTAGGACTCCAATAGTGAAAATGGAGTAATAGATAGAGGCTAACATGAATACCTAATGATCACTGACAATGTGTCAAGATCTACTAAAAGGGTGGGGTATGACTCAAAAATGGGTGTTACCGGAAAAAAAAAAAAACTTGCTCCCAAAAGATGTGAATTGGGGGACCCACTTCAAAGTTCATCTAGCACCTCAATGCAAGTTGTGATAAACAAAATCTATCTAACTATCTACTCTAGACCCCTAGAAAAATGATGACCTATCTTAAAAAAGTTGTGAGAATCTAACTAATTAAGGCTCAGATGAGACTCGGGAGTACTAAGGGGTACTCCCTCCAAAACCAAGATGTGAGTCTTCGATGTCTTCAAAATACCTTATCGGGCTAATCTTTTCTCGCACACATCGGTTTGACCAACCACATCCCTCTGCACCTAGACCCAATCAAGCTACCTGCATCTGACCCCCACACAAGCGGTCTCAAAGTGCTCTGTGAGGCTCAAAACGTGTCCCATTTATTAAATACAAAGGGAATTTGTATCAAGACCCGAGACCAATCTATGATTCAATACTTATGACTCGACGCTATGGTACCTGTAGGGATGAGAAGACAATAGAGAACAAAAATGCATGAACTTAACCTAGAATTCATCTAAAAAGTATGAAAACTAGAAAAGAAAGAAAAAAAAAATGAAATATTTTTGAAATTTTTATGCAATTTTGTTTTATGAATGACCTAAATGACTTACTCTAAATGCAACTATACACAACCTAAATGAAATAAAAAAATAAAAGATAAAGAATACCTCTCCCCAAGCTTAAAATTAAGCATTGTCCTTAATGCTTAGGATAAGAGTAAGGAAGGATCATACCGGGATCAAGGTAGAGGAGGCCCGCGAGGACGGTAACCGCCTTCGGGATGAAAATAATGCCAAAGATCCTTCATGTAGTTATTGGTGCGGGCTTGCTGCTCCTCAATGCGCCGAATGGATGCTGTATTTTGGTTGCCCTGGAGGCGCAAGGCGGAAAGCTGACTGTGTATATCAAGAGGAAACTCGGGGTTCTGGCTTGTTTTGTTGTTGATAAGACTGGTACTCATGTTGTGGCTCAAAATGTGCTCCCGAAGGCTGATCATAAAAGGGTGGTGGCAATTGTCGAATTGGGAGGTCATAATGGTCTTCGACCTCAAATGGACTATTAGCATTGGCATTATCGACCTGCATTTCATCATCATCTGCTACAGTATCATCATCATGTAACTCTTCAAGCAAGAACCAAGTTTTAGGGTCATTGGTGGTGAAGGCAGATATGTTGATATTAGGTAAGGTGTAAACTGGTTCCTTGACATGATTTAGCCAAGAGTAATGGCCATTACTGGCAGGTTGCAATAGCAAGAAATTGAGGAGGTAAAGAGGTGGGTCGTCCGCTGGCACATACTTAGACTTGGGAAATTGAAGGCCCACACCCAAACCAATTAGAGTAATGAGACCTCCAATGCAAATGTCGCTAGTGGTCTTCATTCATATGTTGTCACATTTGTCAAAGAAAAAGGTGGCAAAGCTGGGGCAAGACCAACGATGGCTAGTCATGCAATAGAGGAAATATAACTCGACTGTGTTTATTTGTCTCAGCTCGTGACGACCAAATATGGAAGTGAAAAGAATCTGGTGGGCCAACAAGGATGGATGATGTAAGGATCTTTTTGTCGACTTGGATTAAAGTTTGGAAGACTTGTGATTTGAGTCCAAAACTCTGCTGTGGGCAAGCTATTGAATTGAGTCCGCGGATAACTATAGATGTTGGTGTTGTGGCTACCGTATGTGCCCATGATGGTGTTGAGGGTTTTGTACTTGAGTCGGTGTTGCCGCCCCTGAAGTCTAAATGTGAGCACCCTCTCTGTGTCATCTCATGCATAAGTGGAAAGGAACTCAAGTGTGGGTTGCTTGTATGTGCGCACGGAAAGAGCTAGGTACTCGTGCCAACTGATGTTAAAGAACGGTTGTTTCAAGTAATCATCAAGGCCAAGGTGCATCATCGACTCTTGGTGGTAAAATTTTGTGGCTCGGATCGCATGTTTTTGGAGGTTGGACTTGAATTGTTTGATTTGTGCACTGTTGAGGACAAGGTTATGTTGGATAAGGTGTCTAAGTCCATAACTATATTTTGTATGTACTTGACCCGATTTAGCATGGTCCATTTGAGTTGCATGGCATCATAACAATTGGATAGACAAAATGAGAAAAAGGACACTTATGATTTGTTAATATACTATAAGCTCTAATATATTAATATGAAATCATATTATTTAATTGGTATTGATCGAGAATTAATTTGGAATTAATTTTGTGATCAAAAAAGACTAATTAAATATATAGGGATTGATTTGGTAAATCATTCATTCTTATATAGTGGGATTATGATCCATGATTCATTAGATTGGGCTAGGACCCATAGGGTGCTCCATAGAGGTTAAAACTCATGGATCATGGAGGAAATGAAAAGTCATGTACATTAGGGTTTGCATGGTGTAACCCTACATGTGACACACTATATAAAGAACCTCATAATGAAGTAAAATCGACCACTAAGACATAAGAGTGAGGGCTAGCCAAATTTTGTGCACAAGTGTTCTTCTCTCAAGTTATTCCAAGATTTATGGCGTTGTGTGAAGCATTTGAGACATCACATTTGGGGTGCTCGGCTCACAAGGTCTTAAGGAATCCAAGTTACAAGAAAGGTATGTCATTCTACTAGTTTTTATATTACATATACCCCATGTTATGCTAGTTAGGATGTAAACCTTGGAAAATGAAAGTTTTGCATGTATAATAGAGAAAACATAGATTCAAGGTTTCTAGGGTTGCATGTACACCATAAGAGTGTTAAAATGCTCAAAACCCATCAGTGGTATCAGGGCCTAGGCTTGTTTTCAATTATACTTGATGCAAATTGCTTAAAAAGTCGGAATTGTGCTAACTGTTTAGTGGACTCGACGAGTCCATGTGGGGACTCGATGAGTCCAAGTGAAAATTCACCTACTCGTCGAGTAGTTCTTGCACTCAGTGAGTACGAGGCTCTGTGTGTTGAATTTTGAGTTTTGTTTCTGGAAATGCACTAGAATCATTACCCAAAATTGTTTTAGAGTTGTAAAATTTGTTTTTGGTGTGGTAATGATTATGCTAATCCATTTTCAAAGGTTATTATCAAAGTTTCAAGTTTTATAAATGTTTATGTGATTCTTGAAAATAGTTGATATGTATGTTCATGCTTATGAGTTTTGGTAAATCATAGAAATTATTTGCAAATTGTTTGTTAGTGTAATTCTTGATCTAAATGCCAATTAATGGTCTCCATAACTTGTCCTCAAGTTATGGAATTCCAAAAGCATCTTCCATTAAAACTCATAATTTATAGAAATGGAAGGTTTTGAATAGTTTCAAAACTTGCCCTCAAGTTTTGTAATTTGTAAAGTCACTTTAGAAAACTTTAATTCCAAACCCAAGAATTTTAAAAGTTTAAAATTCAACCATTATACTATCATATTATTAAAAGTTTCATAATTTTATATATATATATATATATATATATATATATATATATATATATATATATATAAGAGTAAGTCAGTCTTACCGTTAGTAGGCCTTATTTATGAAGTTGCTTTATAAGTGGGGCATAAGGTTGTTGCCTATAAAATGGCAGCTTAATGGGTGTCCACTCTCACCCACCGCTTCCTTGACTGGTGGAGGGTCATTAGCCGAACGGATAGGAGATGACACTAATTATCATTAAGTATAATGATAATTATAAAGTAACTAAACCTTTCATAAATTCATAATCTTAGTTGCTTTAGGAAAATGTGAAATTAAAGCTAACCCATGATATTACACTTTGAACCTTGCTAAAGTCGTTAGTGGAACGTGTGTGGTTAACCAACACACTAACTTTGACCTAACAACGATGGAAATGGGTGGCTTAAGGTTTATCATAGATTGGTGGAGCGTGTGTGGTTAACTGACACATCGATTAGGTGATAAAATTAAGAGTACGAAGTTAATTTGCATGGTTATTCACACCTTGTTTCTGATCCTCGGTATCCCAGTCACAAACTTGAAGGGCATAATCGAGATTTAAACATGCCATTGAATTGTTCAATGAATCTCAAAAGATCTAGGAGTTTCAATCCAATTAAAACCTAATAATCTATTTCATTTTTCATGGTGGAATTTGGTAAATCGTCCTTTACCTACCTTCAAATATTTTGTAGCTTGGATTACGGTATCCCTCTTCCAAGTTATAAAATATTATGTTGGGTCCTAGCCTTAATATTTCATTTGGGTGTCTTATTAAGGATTCTATATCTAATCTAAACTTGTGTTTATTCTTTTTCAGATGTCTTCTAACAATGTTGCTTCTGGCTCAAACCCTACCGACTCCTTCTCTCTCATAAAACTTTGTAGGAGAGTCATCTTTGATGGAACTAATTTCAATGATTGGATTAGGAACATAAGGATGGTTACTCGTTATGAGGACAAGGAATATATCCTCGACAAGGAGCTTAAGGTCATCAATGAGTCGTCTGCTACTCCCGAGGAGATTGTTGAGTACACTAGCCATGAGAAGGATGCCACTAAGGTATCTTGTATCATTTGGCTACCATGACAGCAGAACTCCAGAAATCCTATGAAGATTTCTACCCTTATGAGATGCACCTGGACCTGATGGAAAGATATCATCCGAGTGCTTGTCAGGAAAGGTATTAAATCATCACCTCCATGATAACAAAAAAATGAAGGATGGAGAGTCCATCACGAGCCACCTGCATAAGATGCAAAGATTCGTAGACCGGTTGCTTAAGTTGAATGTTAACTTTGATGAGGAGTTAGCAATAGACATTATTCTACACTCCTTACCCTCTTGTTATGATCAGTTTCGTATGACTTATCATATGAACAAAGATGAAGTCATGCTTAGCAAACTTCAAGGACTTTTGAGGACTGCTGAAAGTAGTCTCAAAGGTAAGAATGTTGTTCCTACTCCTACTACCGCCCCAGTTCTGGCAATCGGTCAAGGTAAAGGGAAAAAGAGGAAAACCCCTTAGAAGGGTACCAAGGGAAAGTCTCTTGATGGATCCTCTTCGAGTGGAACCAAAGGTGGTTCTACCACTCCCTCTTCCAACCCGAAGGATGCATAATGCTTCTACTGTCAGGAAAAAGGGCACTAGAAGTGAAGTTGCCCCAAGTACTTGCAGGATGTTAAGGATGAGAAAGTTAAACCCACCCATGCAGGTATTTACACTATATTATCTAATAACTCACCACATACTAATTCTTGGGTCCTTGATACAAGATGTGGAATTCACATTTGTTCTGATTTGTAGGGCCTAAAAAGAAGTGAGAATGCGGAGAACGGGAAGATAAACTTGATCATGGGGAATAGGAAAGCTTCATTTGTCACCAAGATTGGAGTTTATTCTTTATTGCTTAGTAGTGGGTTATTATTAGATTTGAATAAATGTTGTTACTCTTTTGAAATGGTGAGAAATATTATTTCCTTTCATGGTTTGTACAAAAAAAGGATTTACTTTTTCATTTGATAATGAATGTGGTGATATTAATGCTTTTTATAATGGTGTTTTTTATTTTAAAGCATTACCTTGTGATGGTGTATATGAAACTATGTCGGTTGTAGACAACTTTGGAAATAATGTATTGCATATTGATGTTGGATTAGTGTCTAAGTCCATAACTATTTTGGTATGTACTTGACCCGATTATGAGCATGGTCCTTTTGGGTTGCCTTCACCATAGCAATATGTAGGATGAATTAAGGAAGGGAAGGTTTAATTATGATTTATTAATATATTAAAGGAGAAATCATAATGTTTAATTAATATTAGTCAAGAATTAATTTTGTGGCTAAAAGAGATTAATTAAACTCAGGGGACTGAAGTTGTAATTATAAGATAATTACAATTGGGATATGGATCACCTAATAATATATAGGTTGGACGAATTCTATGGGAAGCCCATAAGGAATTCGTCCAAGGGATATGTTAAAGGAGTCCATGGGCTGCTTAGGGCCTAAGCAGTCAGATTGGGGTTTCCTAGTTGCAAACCCTAATAGCCTACATGTATATAAAGGACCCCTATGCCCCAAAAACGTGGCTAACACTTGGATTAGGGTTTCCAGCCGTTTTTGGTGCCTCTTCTCTCCTTCCTCTTCATCCAAGTTGCTTAGTGGTGTTTGTGACTCCATTAGAGGTGCAACACTTGAGGCACTAAGCTTTCTGAAGCTAAGGATTGATTGTTATTGCTATATAACAATCAAAGGTCTGATCTAAACCCTATTTTGTGTTAATATGATTAATGGTATGCTAGATCTAGGGTTTATAGCTTTGGATATTCAATTGCATGTTCATTAAACAAACTAGATCCAAAAGTTATTAGGGTTTGCATGTACACCATAGTAATGATGTATTGCTCGAAACCCATCAATTAATTCTTCCACTAGTTTGGAT